TTCTGTTCCACTGGTCTGTGGCTCTGTTCTTGTGCCAGTACCAAATTGTCTTGATTACTATGGCTTTGTAGTAGAGTTTGAAGTTCGGGAGTGAGATCCCCCCCACTTAATTCTTCCTTCTCAGGATTCCTTTGGCTATTTGGGGCCTTTGGTGTTTCATATGGATTTTTGAACTATTTGTTCCAGTCCGTTGAAGAATGTTGTTGGTAATTTGATAGGGTTGCATCAAATCTGTATATTGCTTTGGACAGGATGGCCATTTTGACGATATTAATTCTTCCTAGCCAAGAGCATGGGATGAGTTTCCATTTGTTAGTGACCTCTTTAATTTCTCTTAAGAGTGTCTTATAGTTTTCAGGGTATAGGTCTTTCACTTCTTTGGTTAGGTTTATTCCTAGGTATTTTATTATTTTTGATGCAATTGTGAATGGAATTGTTTTCCTGATTTCTCTTTCTATTGGTTCATTGTTACTCCTCCCATTCTTTTTTGATAAATACCTAAACACTTGTATTCCTAGTGTCTAGTAAGGATATGGAATATATTCATTGTAATACAAGAGAAGACTTGCCTAATGTTACACAGCAGTAAATTATAAGGTTAATCAGATTCTACATTCGCTAATATTTTTGCATAACCCTGGAAATTTCTAGTCACTGAGGGTGAAAGACTGTGACTCTATTTTTTACATGTGCTTCAAAGAAAAATGAAAAGTAGGGAAGATATGAAATATTTACAAGTGATTTCAAGTTATCTTTAGCATTAGCTAAACCTGAAGTTTTAATCCTTCTTTTTACCACTTCATAGTTGTGTGGACTTGTGCAAGGATTTAACTTCCCTATACTTTAATTTCCACATCTGTAAAACATATATGATTAGAACACCTATATCACAGTGTTATTACAGGGATTTACTTAATTATATTACTTTAATTCAGATCAAGTGCTTAGTACAATTGTGGCTCATCTTTGACATTTAGTACTAGTTAGATGCTTTTTTGACTTCAAGTAACAGAAAACCCAAGCAAAAAGGCCCAAAATAAGGACATTTATCATCACATACAGCAATAAGTCTAGGGGCAGGGTAGCTCCTAGGGTTGACTGTTTCAACACTGTTCACCAACGCACTCAGCCATCCAGAATCTGTCCAGCTTACCACTCTCCCATCCTTCGAGTATTCACCACTTCTCTCTTGGTTACAGCTCCAGCACCAGATAAAGGCATGAAAGATACATGCCCCCACCTAATGTCCCTTTTTAAGAGAAAGAGAACTTTCTGAGAAGGCCCAGGAATAGACTTCCTTATGTCTCTTAGGCAGAACATGGCTAATCCAATAACCAGCAAACAGGAATCACATTACTATGAAAGGTCTGGTCTTTCCTGAAGCAGCTGGTCACCTATAAGAGAATGGACAAAATTGGAGTTATCATAGCAAGTAATAAGTAATAAAGGACCTTGGGAATGGCTGTCAAATAGGCAACCAAGGATACTATGGTAGTCAGTCATCAGTGAGGCTCACCAAATATTTCTAGTTTTCTTCTTTTCCAGATATGGAGCAGAATTGCACTTCCTAGCACTCTTACAGTTGCATAGGAACATATGATTAGTTCTGGCCACTGAGTTGTGAGTTGAAATGATGTGTCACTTTCATGTTGACCTTACTTTTCACTGTAATTAGCTGCAAATAACTAGCAAAACATATATAAGAAATAAGTGAATTATCTTATTCTAATTGCTTGATTTAAATAACCAAAAACTACAAAAGAACATTGCTGAAAACAAGTAAAAACCTAAATAAGTGCAATAAAATATATATTGATTCAGGGATCAGAAGACTCAATACTGTTACAATACCAATGCTCCTCACATTGGTCTATAAATTCAACACGATCAAAATCAAAATCTCAGCACAGTTTTTTTCTAAAATATTAACAGGCTGGTGTTTTATATGGAAATGCACTAAAATAGCCTAAACAACTTAGAAATAGTAAAAAAAAGTTTGAAGACTAACACTGCTTGATTTAAAGACTTACTATAAAGCTATATTTAACAAGATGGTGTGGTACTGACAAAAAGTAAGACAAACAGATTGCTGGTATAGATAGAGGGTCCAGAAATATATCCACATATATTTGGAGAACTGACTTTTAACAACAGGAAAGACAATTCCATAGAGAAAGGATAGCCTTTTCAACAAATGGGGCTTGGATAACTGAATGGCCAAATGCAAATAAAAACCTTTAACCCTAAACCTTCCCTCACCTCATACACAAAAATTAACTCAAAATGGACTCTAGGCCTTACCTGAATATGAGCTAAAACAATAAAATTTCTAGAAGAAGCCATATGACCTTGAGTTAGACAAAAATTTAGATATGACACCAAAAACACAAACCATAAAAAAAACTGATAAATAGGATTTCATCAAAATTGAAAACTTTTGCCCTTTGAAATATGTTGTTTTAAAAAATGAACAGATAAAGCAAAGACTGGGAGAAAATATTTGAAAATCATATATCTGATAAAAGACATATCCAGAATATATCAATAACTCTTAATTATCATACTAAGAAAACAACCTAATTTTTTTAGCAGGCCTAAGTTTGAACAAGCATTTCACCAATGAAGATAAATGGATGGCAAAAAAGCACATAAAAGAAGTTAATATCATTAGTCATTAGAAAAGTGCAAATTAAATCCACAAAAGTACCACTACATGCCTATTAGAATATCTAAAAGGATGTCATAGAGTTAAAAATAATGATAATTTGAAAACTAAAAGCCGAAATACAACCCAACAGACACACATGCATAAATACTCACATTGTTGCTTTGAAATCGAGGTGAAAAAATATGTTCTGAATTGAAACCTTAAATCTACTTACTACATTTGTGTTTTGGTATTTTCCCACTGACTTCATTGTTTACATATCAAAAATACTTTATAATAATAACAAAATTGTGTTCGGCCCTAATTAGATAAGATTGAAATGGCTGCTTCTTAATTTTTACAAGTCATTTAATCTTTCTAAATGAGTACTTCCCAAACTTTTCCACCTGATGCAACACATAGAACATGACAATATTTGCATGACACTCAGGTATGGCAAAGAATGCTAGTGCTCATAAGTTTTCTCCTCTTTTTTCTGAGCACAACACATTTCCCCCATATTTCCCTATGTTTCAGCCCTCATTTTCACTTTGAATGTGAAGCCATATGACTAAGTTCTGGCCAAAAGAATGTGGACAGAAGTGATCTGCACTACCTCTCCTGTGGTAGTGCACACAGGTAGTACTGGTCTGTAGCTAAGTGTTAGAGGAAGGAATTACAAATAAAGAAAGACAGAAAGCTAGAATGATCCCTGTGGTATTGGGTTGGAATTAATAGTATCAGTATGAATTCACAGCTCTTAATATATATACTGACAGAGAATTATTTTTTAATGTTTAAGTATGTATGTATGAGTATAAATACTGGGAGGTCCTAGAAGCAATGACACCCCCTAGCACACAGATTCTAGTTTCTAAATACCTTTCTCCAATAAAAGGAGCCAGGGCTCACTAGAGAAAAGGTTGACCTCAGGGTTGGGATAGAATGAAAACAAGATAAGCCTAAAATATCTTGATATGTCAGAAAGTAAGGAATTGTTTAAGACAGTGTATGTGCTTCTCAAAAGAACCCAAGAGCCAACCTCAAGGAACAACTTCCTAAGGGCTAATCTGGCAAAACATGAGCAATAAAATAATTATAGTATTGGATGATAAGCCCCCAAACGCACATACATAAGCACACACTGGTAGTAATAAATAATTGAATGAATAATCAAATGAGGGATGGACAGCTCTTCTTTATAGAAGGATGATAATTATAAATGGTGTTGGGAAAGCTGGATAGTGATGTTTAAAGAATGAATCTGGACCTCTATCTTACACTATACACAAAATTCACTTCAAAATGAATTAAGGACTTGAATTTAAAACCTAAAACCATAAAACCCCTAGAATAAACATAGGGAATAAGCTTCTTGACATAGTTCTTGGAAATGAATTTTTGGATTTGACAACAAAAGCAAAGGCAGCAACAGCAGAAATTAAGAGGCAAGACTTGAGTAAACTAAAAAGCCTCTGCTCCAGAAAGTAAACGATCAACAAAATGGAAAGGCAACCTATGGAATGAGAGAAATTATTTGCACACCATATTCCATGAGAGATTAAATTACAAAATATATTTGGAAATCATACAACTCATAGGTAAAAGAACAAATAATGACTCAATCTAAAAATGGCCAAATCACAAGAATCACATTTGCCAAAGAACACAAAAATTGGCCAACAGGTAGATGAATGGTGGGACTGTAAACTGGCACAGTCACTGTGGAAAGAGAAAGGAAGCCGGGAGGCATCCCCATCCACACCAACGACCAAGGGCCCACCCAGTGCCTCGCGGAGACGCTGCGGTCGGGGTAGGAACAAGGACGTCCCGGCATCACACCGAGGGACCTGGCCACAACCCTCCTGCCCTCCTGCCCTCCTCCCCTCCCAGCTCCTACTTCTGCCATCCGGGTCTTGGCCAGACTTGCCTCCTGGGGCCCGCACCCGCAGGGGAAGGGAGGCTTTGGTCAGGCCTCTATCCACCAATTTCCCCGGTGCCCACCCCGGGCAGGGGAGGGTAGGTGCGGGCCTGAGCTGAGTCCGTGCAGCGCCATCCCCCTTCCGCTCTCGGGAGGGCAGGGCCCGCACTGGCCGCGCGCGCGCACCTATGACCACGGTGCCATCGGGGATCTCCTGGATGAAGCACTTCTCCTCCAGCTCACGGACCTCGAGGTAGAACGCGCCCCCTCGGCCCAGCAGCGCCAGCAGCAGGGACAGGGCCAGTCCGGGGCCCGCGCTCCGCCGCATCCCCGCCCGGGCCCGCTTCGGGCCCAGCGCCTGGCGCCCCGCAGGGACCCCGCCACCTTCCCAGGCGAGCTGCCGGCCTCTGCGCGGGGCCTGCGGACGCTGCGGAGTCGCGCACGGCCTGCAGCTCCCGGGAGGCCCCGCGCGGCCCCGCCCCGCCGCGCCCCCGGGGTCCGCCGGTGCCGCGGACCCGAGCGCCTCCTCCGAGGTGTGGGGCTGCTAGCCCGTCTTGCTGGTGGAGCGGCTGAGCCGCAGCCAGTGGGGCAAGGGGCTTGACCTCTGCAGCTTTCAGGGAAGGGACAGATTTACCCAAGCCCTCAAAGATGGTTAAAATCTCCCTCTGGGCGGCAAAACAATTTCAGGAGGAGACCTCGGCTTGCCTAACAGCCAGTAAGCCAGTTGAGGGACTAGGGGAACAGTTATGGGAACGTGGAGGCAAGAGGTAATTGGGCTGAATCACTGAGGGCCCAGGAGGTGCCAGGCCAGTAGCAGAGGGAGCTGGGGGGTGAGGGGGGTTCATCCAGTGTCCTTCCCTGTGCACTAGGGACGAAAAAGAGGAGGTTGTGAGTGTGCCCGGAGGGCACAAGAAGGTGGCAGCAATGCAATTGGAAAAGGAAAGGGAGCTGAGAGAATGGGGCCAACACGACAGGATGGGGGCCCAGGAAAAGCAAGTCTCAAGAATTCCAAGCCCAGAGTGCCTTGGGTAGAGCAGTGTAGACCCGAACATGTCACTATGAAGCTATCGCCCAGTCCAGGCGTTGGGATGAAGTCCTCCACCTCTAGTGCCTGGTGATAATAGATATTCATTGGTTATTCAGAAATGATGAAGGTAGTGGTATCTTTCATTCTAATGTGCCAAGCACTGTTCTAATCACTTAGAGGAGTGCATTAACCGAGAGAATCTTTAAAACTTCTGTGAGTGACTCTATGTTATTCCAGTTTAATAGCTGTGACAATAGCAAACAGAAGTTGATAATAACTTGCTCCGAGTCACCCAGCTACTAAGCGGTTGGTGTTTGTGTGCACAGACCCTCTGGGTCATGCCTTATGGTACATGTTGGACACAAAAATGAATGACATCTGTCTCTTACCCTCTCAGAGCCCACTCAAAACCAAAGGAGCAATGTCAGTACGGTGTTCTCAGATTAATAATATGTATTAGCTACCAGGAATTGTGCCCTCCTTTTAACGGTGTGACCCCTTGGCAATTCTGGGGAACCATTTTATTCCTTCATTGGGAATGATGTTTTAAAAAATGACAGATGCAGGTTTTTCACAAAAGGCAAAAGCCTTAGAAAGGTCAATTAGCCAAGGGTTGAAAAGTATCTTTGGGTTTGAGAACTAGTTCTTCACCAGGGGCTTGGACAGAGCTGTGTAGAGGCAGAGGTGAGGACGGCTCAGACGCAGGGATCCTGCGCTGGGTGCTGTCCAGGGTCTTGAATCTGGTTGCGTTCTAGACCGCCACCTACAGTAAGGTGCTGAGTTTACTTTCGCTTTCCATAAAATTTCCAAATCCTCCAAACACCACTCTTGTTTAGTCTTATAAAATAAAACAAAAAATGAAGATGATCATGTGCTTGAGTATCAGGTCAATGATAAATTTCTACAAAAAGTGCCTAAACACTTACTCAATTTCTGTACTTAACTCATTGCAGACCTATAACAGACACCTAACAGACTAACACTGATCCCCAGACCCCTCTGAGTAGCTCTGTTCCATGGCAGTGGTCCAATGAGTAGAATGCCCACAGAAATCCCCTAAAGGGGCAAAAGTGGAAAATGCTTGCAGTGGCATTCATGTAAGGAAACTGTGTACCAGTGACTTCATAGCAAGACTTCAAGGCCCAGAACACAAACGTAGCTCCCAAGTAGCAAAAGTATCTTGTTAATGAGAGAACAACTTATTTCTGACTGATGACATGGCTGAGAAATGTCAGAGCAGTGAATCCACCATTCTGGGATTCTACCACTTAGCAGAGATCTCACTGCACCATGGCTGCCAAGACCACTGACCTGGGGTGCCATTCATGAGATTCAAATGAGACACTGGGGAGCTACATCTACTTGGCTATTTCAAGATCTGATGGGCTTTTACTACATGCTGTGCCCTTTCTGGGGATGCCCTGGGGCCATTCCTGCCCTATTCTCCACCTGCCTATCTCCTATTAATCCTTTCAAGACTCTCTTATTTTTTCCTCTCCTGGGCTCCTGGAGATTTTGTAAATCCCTCTGCTGCAGTGTAAATTTCATTGAATTGTAATCGTTCATTCACAAATAAGTCCCTCAGGGAATAATAGCTGGAAGAAGTAAAGAAACAGGCTTCTATCACATATTTATCTCTGTGCTCCCCAAAGCCTCCCAAAAAACTAGGAAAAGCATGAATATACAATGCATGTTTGGCAAGAGAAAGGGAGAAGAGAGGAAGGAAACAGAAAGGAGAAAAGGAGTAGAAGGGGAAAGGTAGAAGATAGGGAGTGAAAGAAAGAAATCTGGAGGAAAAAGAAAAGAGAGAAAAGGGAATAAAGGAAGGAGGAGAGAAAGCAAGGATGAAGATGGGAGGAAAGAAGGAAGAAGAATGGTGAGTCACATTTACAGGAAGCCAAAATCTCCATACTCTATACCTGGCTTTTCTTGTGATGTACCCCCTCTAATTATTCCCTTTAGACATCCCAAACTGGGGATGTCATGAGTGGGATACTATGTTCTGCACATAAAATCAGAGCTGCCATGTGCAGTTCTTCTGTTCTGGAATTGGTGGATTCTTTCAGTTTCTGGTCACTCAGGTTTCTGTACCATCCTCAGGACACCACCAGGCAATTGTCTCTTCCTCTGGACCACTGGTCTCTACACTCATCTTCCTCCCTGGCCTGTAGAAAAACACCCTGTGTTCCTTGTGACCATCTCTACAAAGAGACTACCTATGGGAGTTCTTTTCCCTGTTCTCTCTGTCCCAGAATACCTGGGCACCAAAAGGTTACTAAATCCAGGGATATCAAGAAGAGTGTCCCACTGGACTTGCTTCACCACCCCTGTAGGCTCACACTCACCAGTCCCTCTAACAGGATCCTTCCACTCCTAGAGAATGTCCTCAGAGGTCCCACTGTATCTCCAGTCCATCCTGCTTTGGGCTGTGGGAAATCTGTCCCACAGGTCTGTGCCTGACTGAACCCTAATGGAAGGCTTGGTCCTCCTTCCCTCCTACACTGTGGGAGTTTCCATAGGTATGTCAAATCAAGGGGAGTTCCTGGCTGTGTGTTAATCCCTAAAGTCAGAAAGCCATTGACTCCATGACTCAGAGCACTCAAGGGCAGTGTGGCCAAAGGCCACATACCAGCCACCTAAGTCTCAGCTGTACCCCATAAAAATAGCATTACACTTTTCCACAACAAAATGTTTCCAGTCTCCTCAAAAGTCTCCGTCTTCCAAGCATCGCTTCTTCTTGGTTAAGTAAATGCACTGACTTGGCTGAGGCACTAGGAAACCTCTGTGGGCTTAGTGCCTAGAAGGGCAAACTGTCTCCCCTCCTGCCTGAGGTTCCATATATGAGCCTGGACATGGGATGCAGATTTCTCAGACCATCTTCTATTAATCGCTGCCTGTTCCATCAAGTTCCCTAACCAATAATTACTCCTGCCTTGGAAGGGAAATAGTTTATCTAACTTCCATGCATGTGGGAGGCTTCATTCTTCAGGTTCAGAGTTGAAAGGTCATTCATTGTCTACACTGAGAAAAAAAAAAACAAGGAAAAAGAGGGGAAGGGACATTATCAGGTGACAAATGTGGAGGGAAGGAAGATGACAATTGCAGAGAATGACACACATGCCCTCTACTTACTCTCCCTTTCTCTCCCTCCCTCACCATTCTTTCCTCCCCTCCTCTCCCTGTTTTCAAATGTAAGGTTTATTATTATTTAGGTATGGTAAGGTCACAAGAATAGGAGGTGATTGCCATTGAAAAGACAGTTCCCACAGGAGTGAGTACTCACTCCTGTGACAGTTCCCAAGAGGAACGAGTACACCATGCCTTGCAAGGCCACATGGGGAAGCACCAGGGTCAGTTAGAGGCAGATAGAGTGAGGGGAAATCATGGGTAACAGCCTACATTGTAGTTTTCATGTGAAGGAATAGGTGAGGCAAGATGAGCAGGATTAGGATTGATTAGTTTGAATAATTCCAGTGGGCTATGGGTTGTAGGGGCTGACCCCGGTTGTCTGGTAAGTGGCCCTCTGTTGATTAAGGCAGGGGGATATTGACTTGGTGTGTAAAAGTCAGTAAGGATGTTGGCTGGAGATACTAACTTGGGACTGGTTGGTTTGCATGTGAAAGTACTTCACACACCACCCAGAGGTATCATCTGATTTCCCAGCTGACAAAACATTGACAAATGGCACATTCAGCCAGCTAAAAAGATGTTAACAGTCTAGCAAGTGAAACAAAATGTCTAAAGTATGATCTCATTTTTTTTACTTTATAAATATATAGTAACAGCAATAATATCTGGAGGAGATTCACAAAAATGTGGTTTACTCTAAAAAGAAACTGTTGATGCATGCAATAAGCTGATTAATCTCCAGAGAATTATGTTGACTAAAGAAAGCCAATCTCAAAAGGTCACATACTGTATGATTCCATTTATATGGTATTCTTGAAATGACAAAATTGTAGAAATGGAAAACACAGACTAGTTGTCTGGGGTTAAGGGGGGGTGAACAGGTGACAAATGGGTGCCAGCATAATAGGATAACATGAGGTATCCCTGTGATGATGTAAAACGTTCCTTATCTCGACTGTATCAGTGTTAATATCCTGGTGTGATACTGTATTAAACTTGGGCAGGATGCTAGCTAGCATTGGGAGAAACTGAGTAATGGGTACACTGGATCCTTGTATTATTTCTCACAGCTGCATGTGAATCTGACACAGGGAAGTGATCGAGAGCAGCCCCTATCCAGTAAGAGTAGGATACGGGCCCATGGAAGAGAACAAAACCTTGCTGAGGCTTCATGAATGTAAAAGAAAAAAGATACTTGTGGTTAAAACAATGTACAGGAAAATTCCACCCAAAACCCAGTGATATGGAACAGTTTGCTGACCATAGTCACATAAGCCTATGAGTTTAAAATAAAAGTGAACTTTAATGTGATCAGTGAAACATAGCATTCTGGAGTGAATCTATAGATAACAGCTTATCTCCCTTGCTGAGGCAACAGGCATAAAACCCTAGACCTAAGTCCATAAGCAGCAGCCTTACTTCTCCTTCTGTACTTTCCTTTCTGTGAATAAAAACCTTTTCTCCTGCTTGCCTACCTTGAGCGTTTGTGAAGTTCATTCTTCGTCTCCGCAAACAAGAATCCCAATGTCATCTTTCGGGAGGCTCATCCAGGGTACCTTCAGAGGTGAGCATCCAAACTCCTTTTCTTTCACTTTCCTTATACCAGGACTCCCTTTGTGGCACAAATCGGTCACTCCTCAGCAAATTTAAATGGGATCATCTCGGCTGCAGATCTCAAGTCTCAAGTGATAAGTACCCCCTGTGTCTTCCTTAGTGGATCCTCTGTCTCCCTTGGGAGCTGGGAAAGTCCACTGAGCAGGGCCTAGGATTCTCTTTCAGAGGCTCTCCCTGGATGCAAGGGCTGATGGATGCAGGTGGATAATTGTGAGTCTAGGCTGAGGCTACACCTCAGAGACCTCTCCAAGGTCTGCTTGTCTGAACTCAGATCCCAGCTGCCCTAACGGGTATCCTATGGAGTAGTCCTCTCTGTCCTTTCAACTTGCCTCGGACCACTCTGGCCCCTGGGGAGGCGCTTCCTTACTTTACTCTCCTTTTGTATGCTTTGACTCAACTGTTCACTTCACGGAACCCCATGCTCTCACCACCATCCGGTAGGCTGCAAATGCTCTCGCTCTCACCTTTGCTCGTACTTTCACTTTACATTGGAGGCATTTTTTGGGCACCTGTTGGCCACTTAAACGTGGTTAGGGTAGGCCACCAGCCTCAAAACTCGGGAGAAAGGTTTCCTGGCATCTACAATCCCTTGATCCCCTGCCTCCAGATAGGAATGTCGAGGAGCAGCTGAGCTGCTTTCCTGTCCTAATCTGCAGACTCCAAGAGTGGACTAGACTAATAGACAGTGGTCCTTGGATTTCGGCTCCACCTGATTTAACCAATGACACAGAAAACCTCCCGCTAGGCTGCTGCCTATGCGATAGTTGCAGATTACCCCCGACCTCTTACCTTGTAGGACAGACTTTCTACAGAGGACAACTAGTGCAATAACCCCCTAGCAGTGGCAGGGACTGGTTCTTAGAGTCATCTGCTCCCACCGTGACAGCTGTCATTGGCACCCCTGCTCCCCCTTTGATTTGTGGTGCTGGCCAGATTCCACCGCCTCCTCTTTGGAGGCAGTTCTCTTTGGACTCCAGCACTTTCTCCACTGTAGCATGGAGGAAGTTCGAGCAGTGAGTCCCCCTTCTGGCCCCTTGGATGGGCCCGAGATCTCACCCAGACTGTGCACCTTGTCCTCCTAGACCGGACTTCAGTAGGACTCCAAGTGTCCAATCCCCTGCAATGTTTGGGAGGTTTCCCCAGAGCTAGGGAGGCCTTTGCTCCGGTGAAGGTCAGAGTCCAGCTGGAGAGGAACCACAAGTCCCTGGTAGAATTGTGTGTAAGACGGATATTTGAATACTGCACTGAGGAAATCTACCACCAGTTTTGTGCCTCTGTGTTCCATACAGAAGCATGCCAACAGAGGGTTCTAGTCTGGGTCAAAACTCCCAAAGTCAGTAAGGAATGGTGACACCAGTATAAGCCCACTGAAACCGATGTCCCGCACCTCCTACCTAGGGGAAGTAGGGGACGGGTAAGGACACGGCCATGCTGATAAAGGAGCACTAGGGTCTGTTGCAGTTGGGGACTGCAAAAATGAGAAACTGAGTCAGAATGACGTTTAATGCAGAGGGCTTAGAGTTCCCCTCGAGACTAAGCCCCAAGTCAGTGCTCCCCTGCGCTTTTATTAAGTTACAGCAAGCAAGAAGACATAATTATAGGATAAGTTTTATCATCAAGCTAAACAATTATAAACTAATCCTCTTAAAGTTTCTCTTATGCCTCTTCAAGTCATCCGGCCACATGAGCCTCACGGTGTGATCCTCATCTGGGTTTGCCTCGGAAAGGTTCACGAGAACTGTTTGCAGACCTTGTCACATTGCTCATGACTCGCACCAAATTCCAAGACACAGCACCTATTGTTCTTTTCTCTTAGATTGGTTTTGGCTATAGATTAAGCTTAAGCAAGAACTAAATTACAACAAGGCTAACAGCTGGGGTATCTACAAGGGTCCAGTAGGCTCAAGGGGGTGAACTGTTGTTGTCCACCTTGTCACCCCGCTGCGAGAGGAGGACCACCCGATAAGGGAAGTAGAACCAGGTACTGGATGCCTGTTCCTGCTTTCTCTTTCAGATGGGAACAACCTCGTCAAGCCTAAAGTCAGGTACCCTGCTTTAGGTATACTGAGGATGTGTATACTGAGGAATTGGGAGCATTTTGATCCCCAGACTCTGAAAAAGAAGCACCTAATCTTCTGCACACAAGCCCGGCCTCAATACAAACTCCCTGAAGGAGAGGCCTGGCCCCCTGAGGGAAGTATACAATACAAATGAGATCTTGCAGCTAGATTTGTTTTGCCACAAGGAGGGAAAATGGTCAGAGGTCCCATACATGCAGGCTTTCTTTGCCCTTCCAGAAGATAAAAGAGTATGCAAAGAACATGTATTAACTCCTGACTCTACTCCAAGTACCAACCCCTCCCCACTCGCTCCATCTTGCCCACCCTATGCAGGTCCACCCGCTGAGACCCCCAACAGCCAGTCTGAGGGAAAGCAACAACCCCAGGCACCACTGAGCCAATCACCTGCCAGGCTCCCCAGGCGGCAGGGAAACAATTAGACCCATCCTTACTGCACTACAAGAAGGAGCCAATGGAGAATGGGGACCAGTTCGAGTCCATGTGCCCTTTTCCCTCCAAGACCTGAGGCAAATAAAACAGGACCCGGTAAGTTTTCAGATGACCCAGACAAATACATAAAAGCCTTCCAAGGACTTATCATGACCTTTAAACTAACCGGGAAAGGATGTCATGCTTATATTAAACCAAACTCTTACCAGAGGGGAGAAAGAAAAAATGATCAGGGGAGCCCTAGAGTTTGGAGACCAATGGTGCACTGTAAATGCAAGTGGCAAGTCTCCGGAGGAATTAACCCAAGTTCCTGCTGGCTGTCAGGCAGTACCATTCACTGACCCACAGTGGGGTCAAGATGCAGACCATACCGATAACTGGCACCAGCATTTTATAACCTACATTCTGGAGGGGCTAAAAAGGGCACGAGTAAAACCCCTGAACTGAACTGCACCAAGCTATCATCAGTGACACAGGAAGAAAGGGAGAGCCCCTCGGCCTTCCTGCAGCAACTCAGGGAGGCGCTGGTGAAACATACTTAGGTGTCCCCAGAGCCCCCAGAGGGCCAAATTGTTCTTAAAGATAAATTCATCACTCAGTCGGCCCCAGATATCAGGAGGAAGTTTCAGAAATTGGCGTTTGGCCCAGAACAAATATGGAGAGCCTCCTAAGAGTCGCCACAGCAGTTTTATATCATAGGAATGAGGAAGAGAAGAGAGAACGAGAGAGGAGGGATAAGGGACAGGCAGCGGCGTTCGCGTTGGCCCTTCAGGGAGAGCCTTGGGGCTCCATGGTTTGAGAAAGGGAAGCCAGCCCAGGGACAGGGCCCAGGGCTTGTTTCCTCTGTGGCAGAGAGGGGCATTTTAAGCAAGAATGCCCCAGGCTTGGTTGCCCAAAACCGCCAAAGCCCTGCCCACTCTGCCAAGGAGACCCATGGAAGAAAACTGCCCTCAGAAGAGTAGCAACTGGGGTCGGGCTTGCAACAGCAGGGAACAGAAGAGGCCCAGGCTACCCATGCTGGCTCCTATCACCATTGTAACTCCACAGGAGCCCCAGGTGATTCTCTCTGTGGGGGGCCACACCATCGATTTCCTGCTCAATACTGGAGCCCAGGAGCTACCTATTCAGTTCTCCATAACCCAGGGCCTCGGTCCTTCCAGTCAGTAACTGCTAGAGGCCTATCTGGGAAGTCAATGACCAAATATTTTACTCAGCCTTTAAGTTTTGAAAGGGACTCTGTGCTGCTCTCCCATGCCCCCTAGTGGTCCCAGAACCCCACCACTCCTAGGCCATGATGTGCTTCCTAAGGTACAGTCCTCTGTACATACCAACGTGGAAAAAGATAAGCAATGCCTGCCTCTAGTGGAAGTAGACATTAATCCTGAGGTCTTGGCAACTGATGGAATTATTGGCAGGGCTAAGTCAGCCCAACCGGTTGCAGATCCACCTCAAAGACCCTAAACACTTTCCTCGTAAGAGGCAGTAGCTGTTGAAACCAGAGGCTCATGAGGGTCTGAGGCCAGTCACTGACAACCTGAAAACTCAAGGTCTCCTGATACCCTGTAACCGTCCCTATAACACTCCTATCTTGGGAGTACAAAAACCAGATGTCAGGGGTGCCCCATGCAATACCTACAAGCCATTAATGAAGCAGTTGTGCCCCTGCACCCAATAGTACCTAATCCCTAGACCCTGTTATCCAAAATTCCTGAGGGAACGGTGTGGTTTACTGTGTTAGACCTAAAGCATGCTTCCTTTTTTATCCCACTTGCACCTGAATCTCAGTTTCGTTTTGCTTTTGAGGACCCTATAAATCCCTCAGTTCAGTTAACCTGAACAGTTTTGCCCCAGGGATTCAGGGATAGCCCCCACATCTATTTGGGCAGTTCTTAACCAAAGACCTGGTCTCCTTTGATTTAGGGGAGGCAGAGATCATCTAATATATGGATGATATACTTCTCTGTGCCACCACAGAGGCAGAATGCCAGGAAACTCAGAGGTTGCTGAACTTTCTAGCTAAATGTGGCTATAAGGTCTCCTGCTGAAAAGCCCAGATCTGTCAGCAGCAGATGAAATACTTAGGCCTTAACCTCTCCCAGGGCACCAGAGCCCTGGGAGAAGTGAGAATACGGCCCATTCTCTGCTACCCCTTGCCCACTACTCTCAGACACCTGAGAGGATTCTTGAGCATCACCGGATATTGGAGAATTTGGATCCCTGGATATGGAGAGTTAGCTGGTCCCCTCTATCAGCTACTTAAAGAAGCCCAAAGGGAGGGCCCTGTAAAACTCCAACATGGACCCAAGGCCATTAGAGCTTATGAGACCTTAAAGAGGGCCTTACTTCAGGCCCCTGCCTTAAGTTTGCTCACTGGGAATCAGTTCAACCTGTTTGTTACCAAGAGATTAGGAGTGGCACTGGGAGTACTAACCCAAGTTCAAGGAGAAGCACAGCAGCCCATAGCCTATTTGAGCAAGGATCTGGACCTAGGAGCTAAAGGCTGGCCACACTGTCTGAGATCTGTGGCAGTGGTTGCCTTGCTAATACCTGAAGCCATAAAACTCATCCTGGGAAGAGATTTGTTAGTACACATACCCCGTAACATCACCAGCATATTGAATACCCAGGGAGACCTGTGGTTATCAGATAGCAGGCTACTGAAATACCAGTCACTCCTCCTTGAGGGCCTTGTGACCCAGCTACGGATATGCTCCACCCTGAACCCAGCCACCTTTCTCCCTGAATCCATAAGCAAGGAGCCTGAGCACGATTGCCAGCAGGTCCTTGTCCTGAACTATTCCACCAGGGAAGATCTGAAAGACACCCCTTTAGATAACCCAGAGCTTGTGTGTTTCACAGATGGCAGCTCATTCATCGAGCAGGGCCAGCATAGAGCTGGCTATGCAGTTGTCACTCTGTGGAATACTAATGAATGCCAGCTGCTTCCACCAGGCACAAGCACCCAGCTAGCAGAACTATAGCCCTGACTCAAGCCCTCAAGATAGGAGGAAAGAAGGTCAATATATATTTATCTCACCTAGAAGCCATGAAACTACAGATGGTGATGGAAACATCCATTTTCCAAGGCCCTCTTGATCAGCCAGTGACGGAGACCTGACTGTACACTCCACTTCACCCCCTCTCAGCCTGAAGCAGTTAGAGCTGTCATCGCCCAACGCCCTAATTCTGCGTCTGTAGAGGGGTGAGTGAGACAGGGAAATGACTGGGGGCAACACCTGTCCAGTTAGAGTAGGATACAGGCCCATGGAAAAACCTTGCTGAGTGTTCAGGAATCTAAAGGAAAAAAGATGCCTGTGGTTAAAACAATATACAGGGAAATTCCACCCAAAACTCAGTGATATGGAAGTTTGCTGACAAGAGTCACGTAAGCCTACGAGATTAAAATAAAAGTGAACTTAAATGTGATTAGTGAAAACATAGCTAGCATTCTGGAGTGAATCTACAGACAACAGATAGCTTGTCTCCCTTGCCGATGCAACAGGCACAAAACTCCTAGACCTGAGCCCGTAAATGGCAGCCTTGCCCTTCCTGGCATGCGCTGGGAGTTCTGTACTTTCTTTTCTCTGAATAAAAACCTTTTCTCCTGCTTGCCTACCTTGAGCATTTGTGAAGTTCATTCTTTGACTCCACGAACAAAAACCCCGGTAGCAAATCTATCATTATCTCAACATAAAAAGTTTAATTTTGAAAATACCTGAAACTATTATGAAATCTTATTTATTAATTCTGTAATTATTGTTAATTCTAAATGGTAGCTACAACAGCAATAATAGCATGAAGTTATACTACCACTAAGAGAAACACAACCAGTAATTAATTCTCAGAAGAAAACAGGTAACCAACAAAAAATTTTCAGTCACCAACGAAATAAAAATTTAAAGGTTAGTGAAATACAGTTTTCATCCACTGATTCTGCAAAGATTAAAAAGGTTGGGACATTCAACCAGTTGTGGAGATGTAAACACAAACACACACTGCGGTGGGACTATACATTGGGACAAAGCTTTTGGGAGGGCAATGTGATCTTTTATCAACAAAGGTATGTCCTACGATAATGCTTTGCAGGAAAATAAGTAAGAATTTTTGTTGCAGCATATGTGTAAGAGCAAAAAATTAGGGAAAAGATAACCATTTTCTCACATGACTGGTTTAAAAACTAAGGTAGATTCATATTATGGAAAATTGTTTTTGCTAAGAAAAACGAGGTAAAGACTTTCCAAGAGCGGATGTGTGAACACATACCCACTATGCCTCCATCCCTAAGGCCAAATGAAACGACAGAGAACCCAAAATACAGAAAAAAATCTCAAATGTCTGTGAAATGGTGAGGTAGCACGATCATAAGCTACTAACTCCGAAGAGCTGCCAAAAATACACGGAAATTTGGTTAAAATCCAGTAAGGACATGAAGGACAGACCCAAATCTCTGCTGATGTGTGCAGAGCTCTCCAAAACCCGCAACTCCGCCCCAAGACTTCGCCAATACGCCTTTACCTGCGGGCCACTGG